TGCGGTGTGCAGGCTTCCCGCTGTTTGCTTCTCTTCTGGAGCACGGGCTCTAGGGCACATGGGCTTCAGTAGTCGCTGCACATGGGCTCAATAGCTGTGGTTCCCAGGTTCTAGGGCACAGGCTCAATGGTTGTGGCAAATGGGCTTAGTTGCTCTGTGGCATATAAGATCTTTCCAGACCAGGGATCAAACCCGTGTCTCCTGCATCGGCAGGAGGATTCTTTACCACTGAGCCACCAGGGAAGCCCCTGAAATTCTGTTTTTTAGAGAGAAGAAAAAGAAAGGAAAACCATGAAGGAACCCATACATTATATTCTGTGTTCATTAGTTTCCATTAGATTTTATTTCCTCACTTATAATCACAGTTCTTTGAAGAAAAACTCACAGCATAATAAGATACTACTTCCTGAATGCCAGTTTGTGCTAGGTTCTGTGTTAGGGGCTTGACAATTATTGTCTCATTTACTACATGTAACAGTCCTGATAGGTAGGTAGATGTTATATCCATTTTGCAGGTAAGGATGCTGAGGTTGAAAGAAGTTAAATGACTTTCCCAAGTTACTTACCTACAAATGGTGGGCTCAGGATTCAAACCTAGTTCTGACTCCAAATCCCTTTTTCCTTCCCATTTTTTCATGCCTCCTTAGTGTACTAACTGAGAAAATTTCATAGCATGGTTAGAATACTGGAAGATGTAGAAGTCTGATGCTGTAAAGGAAAGGTGCCAAAAAAAGATGTGTTTGCCTGGTTCTCACATCAAATACTAAAATATATTCCAGTAGATCAAAGATTAAGTAGCTAAAAATTAAACCAAGGTTTTACTAGAAGAAAACATGGGTAATTTGTTTAATATGTATCAGAGAAGGGAAGATATATTACAACGATCAAAAGCTAAAAAGGAAAAAAAAATGTGACTATGTAACACATTTTAAACTTCAGTATGGCAAGAAATAGAAGACAAAGGAAAAGTTTAAATATTTAAAATACAATAATAATACAAATATAAAACTAGTAAGAATATTTGCAATAGTTATCTGAGATGAAGAACTAATATTCTTTTTATAACATTCTTAATATGCGGATAAATTTTTTAAAGTGTAAACAATGAAAAAAAGGCAACATAAATGAGCAAGCGTTTTATACAAAAAGAAATTTAAATAACCAACAAACATATGAAAAGATGTTTAACCTCATAAGTGAAGAAATATAAAATTTTAAAATATAATTGTTTACCTATCAGAATATCCAAGGTCAAATGTTGGGGTATGAGCAATTTTTACAAGACTGTGAGGAAGTAGCCAATCATATATTTTTTGTGGGAGTATACATTTTTGGAGACAACTTGGCAATAGCTATCAGAATGTAACCCTAAGACCCTTTATCCTTCTGTTTATGATAGCAAAATATTAAAGCAACCTAAGCACCCAACAACTGTGCCCTGGTAAAATAAATTGTTTTACACTGACTAATAGAACCTTCCACAGCTATTAAGAAGCATGGGATAATGTATAAAAATATACAAATAAAAAATACCCTGGGGATTAAGAGATACAAACTACTATGCATAAAATAGATAAGCAAGGAAGATAAATTGTATCACACAGAGAAATATAATCATAATTTTATAATAACTTTAAGTGGAGTATAATTTATGAAAATATTGGATCACTATGCAGTACCCCTAAAACTAATATAATATTGTAAGTCAACTATACTTCAATATAAAAAATATATAACTTCAACATATCTCCAAGATATGTTAGTAAATGGAAGAAAATCCAAAGCAATATATAAAATACTATCTTTTGTGTAAAATTATTTATAATTGTATGAACCTGCTTATATTCATAACAGAAATAATTGGTAGTGGATACAAGAAGCCATCAATGTGGTACCTTTGGCAAGGATAATAAGAGGTAGGGGAAGCATATAAAAAATAATTTTTTAAATTTTATTTTTAAATATAAAATTTTTATATTGCTTTAATTTTCATGTATGTGCATTATGAGCATACAGTTGTCCCTCAGTTGTTCCAGGGACAGTCCTCATCCCCAAACCTCATAGATACCAAAATCCAGGAACGATCAAGTCCTTTATTTAAAATGGTATAGTAATTGCATATCAGAGAAGGCAATGGCACCCCACTCCAGTACTCTTGCCTGGAAAATCCCATGGACGGAGGAGCCTGGTAGGCTGCAGTCCATGGGGTCGCGAAGAGTCAGACATGACTGAGCGACTTCACTTTCACTTTTCACTTTCATGCATTGGAGAAGGAAATGGCAACCCACTCCAGTGTTCTTGCCCGGAGAATCCCAGGGATGGGGTCTCACAGAGTCAGACACAACTGAAGTGACTTAGCAGTAGCAGTAGCAGCAGTAATTGCATATAATCTATTCATATCCTCCCATATACTTTAAATTATCTCTAGATTACTTATGAAACCTAATACAATGTAAATAGTTGCCAGGTATGTAGCAAATTCAAGTTTTGCTCTTTGGAACTTTCTGGAAATTTTTTAAAATATTTTCAATCTGAGGTGAGTTGAATTTGCCAGTGCACAAACCACAGATATGAAGGGCTAACTGTATATTAATTATATATTTTATTTCAGTACATTATCTGGGCAATGAGATTATGGCCTGTTTGTGTTTTCTTCATTATTAGTTTCTGTTGGTTTAGTAAACACATATTTTTTAATTGTACAAGAGCAAACTAAAAGAAACAAATAATGTATATACCTTTTAGCTTAGAAAGTGTATTTCCAGCACTTATCCTTCAGAAACACCTTCCTAAGTGTTTGCAGTAGCAAAAAGCTAGACACAGTCTTAGCCATACCAGTAGGGATCCTACTAAAAAATTACTGGTACATCCACACCATGGCATACAGGCTCCCACTTAAAGGTAAGACAATATGAACTGATATGGGTGAGGTCCAAGATACATTGTTAAATGAAAAACTAAACAAAAACAAGTTATAGAATTATACATATATATGATATGATCCTGTCCTTTTAAACAGAAAGTCAATAATGTATTAAAACGTAGACAAAACCAAATAGAGATAAAGCCACACGCTTGCACATGCATATAGCAGATTTCTAAAAAGCATACACAAGAAGCTGCCAACAGTTGTTACCTCTGGGAGTAAAAACAGTGAGGGGACTTTTCACTTTTCTTTTTATACCTTTCTAAAACATAAGAATTCATTAACATGACCATATATTATTTTTTAATAAAAAGTCAACCCTAATTGTTTGACAAAAGAGATTTGGCCCTTGAAGCTTGTGCCTTCAGCTTCCTGTAGGTAGGAGCCGAGATCAGATTACTTTTTTTGTCTCTTCCGGCTCTCTGAGTTATACTTCTGACTCATCAATGTTTGGACAGCCTCTGAAATGAATGTCATTATATAAGGATTAAATCTGGAATTTTATGGTTCAGAGAGGCTTGAGCCTCACAGTCCCTTCCCCCTGAAGCAGGTGAGAATTGAGGCTCAGAGGGGTGATAATGACTGTCCATCAGCTAGAGGGGAATGGTCCAGCCAGGCCCAGTCTCACTCAATACACTTCCCAGGGTAACCACGTCACTGATGCTCTCAGTAAGCACAGAAAGCCAATCAATGCTTTCACCAGAATAGAAGACCAGGCAATTTATAAAAGTGAGTAAGGAGACTTTAACAAAGTTATTATGAGAAGAACAGCATGTGGGATTAAAGATTACAGATGTTCCAGCCCTGATAGGGAAACACAATGGCCACCCCCAGTCATGACCCCTTCATTGTCAAAGAAGACCGATGAGAAGGGAAAACATTCTCTATTTTATGTGTAGATGGCCTGAGCAGTTCTTTTACTCTTCTTCATGGTCCCTAGCCATCTTAACCTATAAGTTAAAGGAAGCAGAATTTTAATATCAGCTGGGTAGGTTAGAAAACTGGATTACTGTGTGTTCAGTTGAAGAAGAAAAGCTTCTTAGGGGCTTGTCTTGTTCACCTTTGTTCCCCATCCTCCGTCCCCCTATCGGGCCAGTCACAGAGCCCTGACTTTGGAAAGCACTTAGTAATTATATTGTGTTGGTTTAGACTGAATTGATTCGAGAAAAATTTTAGCTTCTGCCTCTCATTAAATTTGACTTGAGTGATTTTTTTTTTCCCCCTCTCAGCAGAGTTTTATGCTTATTTTTCAGATGCTCTGTTTCTCTTTTGGCATGGGTCCTAAAATGGGAGTTAGTAAGAGCAACATAAACTCCCGGAATTCTCTATTTCATTTTGTCACAATTCATTCTGGGATTGTACGTAAGAAATGGGGCAGTCAAGTTTATTTTGGAACAACGATCAGGGCTGTCTATCCAGGCTCAGGATGACAGGATGAGGCATATAACCAAAAGGAGGGATTTGACAGGCAGCCAGCCCCATTCCACACAGTCTCCCCCAGAATCTCATATGAATATATTATTCTGTCAGCACATACTTGTCTACATATATTACATGTGTCTTTCTTTATTATCCCATTTTCCTTTTAATTTTGAAGGCTCCTGTCTACCCCAGAAATCTACAAAACTCATAGAAGCTTATTAAATGCACGCATTAAAATCTTAATGGACTTGGGTAGACAGAACTTTTAACCCACTGAGACCATGGCACAAACACTCTGGCTAGAATTTCACATCTCTGCTAACTAAAGTTATCAAGGGCATGAAATTTGATAAGTTAGCACTCCAGTGCCTGTGTAGGACATGAAGGGTTTTGAGGCAGGTAACATCATCTTAAACAGCCTCTCTGTTTGGGGAAATTTTTTCCCTCTGTCTGTCTGGGTTAGGAAGATCCTCTGGAGAAGGAGATGACAACCTTCTCTAGTAATCTGTCCTGGAGAATCCCATGGACAGAGAAGCCTGGCGGACTACTGTCCATGGGGTCACAAAGAGTCAGACACGACTGAGCAACTGAGCACACATCAGAGTAACGTGCCTCATGAAATACCAGAATTCTCTGGCTTCCTCTCTTTCAGGTGAACGGCATTGACCTTCGTGGAGCATCGCATGAACAGGCTGCTGCGGCACTGAAAGGGGCTGGACAGACGGTGACGATTATAGCACAATATCAACCCGAAGGTCAGTGAGAACGCAAACTTACAACGTTCTGATGCGTTTCTGTGTGAATGGGTGACCACATTTCTGATCACTGATATTAACTAGTTACTACCAACAAGATTTTTTAAAAACAATCTATGGTGAAAAATTGGTGGTTCATGTCCAAAGAACATGAGGTTTTGTTACTCTTAATCTTCCAAGGAAAAAAATCTAATAGTTTATAAAGGCCTGTTTGCAAATACAAATTCAAACAAATAACAACTAGCATCAGCTTTATTTCATTTACAGTCACCTGGTATACACTTTTGGTCAGCAATGGATACTATAAAAACAATTAAGATTTAGGAAGCAAGGGGAGAGATCTTAGCTATAGAAATAGACCATGATCAGTAGACCATTTTCTCTCCTGTGGCAATGACTTATTTTTATTAATACTAACATGGTTTTTGGATGTCTTTGATGTGGAATTTTATTTTATTTTATTTTTGCCTTTTCTGCCATACTTTCCCTTGTTTTGGAATATATCACTATAAACCCTGAAACTTGGTGAGATAACTTGAGTTGAATTAGCCAACTGAGACTTGATAAAATATTCTAAATTGGATTAGCAAACCCTGTTTTTTTTAAATTTGTTTCAACATCTGTTTCTATGATCAGAATGAGGTTCAGTGAGACAATTGGGATGTTACCTATTGTGGAGTTGATTTCTTAGCAAATTAGCAAATATATATATATATAAGTTTCTCTTTTGTTAATGAAATATAGTTACATATATCACTGTGGACTAGACTTTGTACAGAAAAACAGAGGAATATGGTTCTGTCTTCAAGAAACGTATTGAACTGTTTTTGGTTCACGTGGCTAGCAGAGAGGAGAATTTAACAGGTGAATATGAAAGTACAAGGTGCATTCAAGAAAGAGCCTTTGTGCATGTGGGTATGAAGAGGCTTATTTGGCCTTTTCAAATGATTATTTCTTAGCATCAATTGTTCTATTGATGTTGGGAAGACTGAGGTTTGTGTCTTTCCTGTGACATCTTAGATTTTACCATTAATGGTGGCCAACCACATGTTTTACAAGAGAATAAAGAAAATTGAATTATGCATTTTGATATGTTACTTTCATTTTGCCTGACTTTAGAATTTGCAATTAAGTTATACCCCCACAAAAAAGTATTGATTACTTTCTTCTATTGGCCTAGCACAAATATGACCAGAAAGCCACCTGGGAAAAGGGGATTTGTGTTTGTCAAAGATGGAAGATAGTATCACCAAGGAAATGTGTTAGACAGTTTAGGCAGTTTTGAGAAGTTTTTCTGCTTATTAAAATTTAGTAGATATGTCTTCTAATAGGAATAAACAACTCCAAAGTAAAACAGCTCCATTGTAAAACAGAAAATGAAAAGATCTGGGCTAACGCAATTTGATGAACAAATTCTACTTCATATAGATTAAGAACTTGTTCGTGAGATTCTTCCATTTTACTGATAGCTGTTTTCTTTGTCTCAAACTGTATGATCTGACACAAGACATAAATATCCCTGAAAATTCTCATCTCAATCCTTCAGACTGATAAGATTGTCCAAACTATAGTTACACCAATTAGAAACTCTTGATAGTGAAGACAGTCATTCAAATAACCTTGAACAGAATGATTCCAAGCTTTAAAAGCTACAGTAAAGGATAAGCATGTCCTAGTTCTATCAGCATAAATCTTCATCCTAAGCTTCCTTACAGCTTTGTTTCCTTTAAGCAATAAACTCACTTTGGAAACTGTGCTGTACTTTATCAAGATGCCTGTTCAAAACATGTCTTATAAATCACATAAATCGATTTTTAAAGTGCTTCTAAAGAAATCTGCAAATAACAACAAGCTTAGTATTTCAAAATGCCAAAGTACAAATCAAATTCACAGAATGACTTGCCTATTTTAATAGTCTAACTGCATTCTAATTTGTCACGGCTTTAAATCGGTTGGAAATGCGGTAATGCAACAATAAGCAATCATTTTTCCTCCCTTTGCAAATTTAATGGGTAACTGAACCTTAATTTAACTATTTTTTGAAATGGAAAACTGATTGGATTGTTGTTCAGGTCAGCTAGGGACATCTAAATTATACAACATATTTAAGAAATAATGAACAATTTAACTTTAAAATAACAATCTAAAAGAAGAATGAGATAAAAAAAGAATGCCATGGGATTCCATTAGGAAATTCTCACCAAGTCCCCTTTATTTGCATCAGTATTGCAAGGTATCCATGCTAAGACTGATTTTATTGACATCTCTTGTGATACAGTCAAGAATCAGGCTTTCAGGGAATCTGTTTTTCACTTACATTCAAATCATTTTATCAGGAAAACTCTAGATGCCTTGCTTAATATTAGTAGATATTCAGAAAATTCCACCTTTATCCCTATCCCAGTTCTTTGTTTTTAAGGAAAAATTTTTTAAACTTATTCAGGAGAAAAGACTTAGATACATTTAATAGAGATCAGTTCCTGATGACAGATGACCTAAACTGTATGATCATGATACCATCTCTAACAATTATGGAATGTCATGGAAGGAATAAACCTGAAGGAACCAGACCAGCACAAGAGTACTACATGAAAATGGGAAAATGGAAACAGACTTTGAAAAAATGGGTGGGAATTCTATTCCAGAGAGCAGGGAGAAAAAATACCTACCTAAGACTGTGAGATCAAAGTGTTGCAGACACCAAAACCTATATTTTGTTTGTAGATGAATTTTCCAGTATTGTACATATAACTGGTATTTCTTACAAAGTTGTTGAACTAATGAAGAAAAGCTTGCCATTCTTCAGTACTTGAGTTTTCACTTGACAGTATTTGAAGATTGAAGGGCTTCATTTTTACTATTTTTATTTTTTCATTTTTGCTTCAAAGCAGAAAATGTGCTAAACAAGTGTGTTATGCAAAATATAAAACCATTTCAACTGCGTATTTCATAGTACTTAGCACAGTTTTTGAAATAATGATAAATAATTTATAATTATCATAACATAGCAATTAATGTCTTCCTTGGCAATTTTCACTGCACAGAGTAAGGCCAAAGTTGTTATACTCACTTTTGCTTAAAATGAGCTTGGTCCCAGTTGTGTGAATTACTCTATCCATCGTCAATATTATTCAATATCTAGTTCTAGGTGGTAGAATTAAAGCCAAATTTAAAGAGTCACATACAATGTTTTCTTCCGGTGGTATCACTGTGTTCATTTCTACCACCTTTCTTTTTATCCAATTTGTATCACATGCTTGCTTTGAAATTAGCATGTGTTACCTTAATAATAATAATCCTTTTTTTTAAAGGATCATGTATCTGATACTTCAGACAAAATTTTACTTAAGCAATATGAGAAATTAATTCTTATAAAAATTTGTTACCTATATACAATTAATGAAATTACTCCAACATTACTTGGAAAAAAGAAACATAATGCCCCCTACCACCCTACACACAACACAGACACACACACCCATTTCCTTACCCTTCTCTGTCGTCTTCCTCATTGCTTTCAGAATCACCATTCTAAACAATATCACCTCAAGATGCCCGTACGCAACTCCTTGCCTTTCACAGTATAATCCCAGCTGATCTCCATGCCCTCTTCCCCCACTGCCACTGCCCAGCATCATCCTTTTTCACTGTCCCCCTGCTTCCCAGGACTGCTCCATGTCCCGGACCTAGGTCCTGAACTGTAATGTTGATGGGCCTTTGCTCCTGTGGGTCTCTCTGCCTAGAATTCCCTCTTCTCCTCTTGGACCGGTAGCACTCCTGCTCATCTGGAAGGCACTCAGATGCCAGTTCCATTACAAAGCCATCTTTAGTCTGCTGAATCAGTGTTGATTTTCTCTGAGCGCGTGTTGGTTTTCTCTTTCTCTGAGTCCCCTAGACTTGCATTCAGACACCAGGTATGTCCCTAGTGGGACTGGCACATTCCTCCACCCAAGGGAGCTTCTGGAGGGCAAGGGACCTTCTACCACTCATGTTACCTCCCATGTTAATATGCTCAACGTGAATTTGACTAGGCTTTATTAAAGAGTTATCAAATGTGTCTCCACTTGTTTTAGAAGTATAATACCTTTAGTGTGTTGGAAAATATTAATAACAGATGTTTAAGAAATATCTGCAGAGTGAATATTGAATGAATGTCCTGGGCTTTTGACACTAAACGCAGCAATGGTAAATGAATCCCTAGACTGGACATTTGGTGTTGATGCTGTTTTTAGGTGGTGCTTTTTGTTTTTTTTGTTACAAAACATTTAGCAACCCTAGTGGATAAACTCTCTTTATCCTGTACTGCAGAAAATCTACAGCTGTTGGTCTGTAATATAGAACAAAGAAAAGATAATTAAAGCGCTCACATTTTTTAGAGCTTGGTAACACAACTTTAACACCATTGATGAATGAAAGAGGCATTGATTACAACCTAATTATACATTTGTCACAAAGAGCCTAATATAGCATTCCCCTGGGTCAGATTGGGGCAAACCTTTATAGCATTTATTGCCTTCTAGCTGATATAATAGCACCTATATTTAGTGTGAGGTTACTGACTGAGGTTGAAATAATAAACCACCAGATATTCACTAGGAAAATCAAATGAACAATATAAATTGTTGGATAAAGCACAAAGTGGAGACAATTAATTGCCAAGCTCTTCCAATGAGAGCCATCGATATCCCCCTGTCTTTAATTTGGCTACTCAGAGCATTGCTGGGGACATTACAAGGGCTTCAGAACAGCCTGAAAGTAGTAAGGAGGAAGTCAGTGGTGGTCCCCACCAGTGAGCAGGCACTTCAGTAGCCAGTAGCCTGGTTTCCTCAACCTTTTATTCTTTAACAGAATAATCTGAGTTCCTAAAGGAAAATCCCAAAGAACAGAGTTGATCATTGCCTGGACACTCATAAATGTGGTCTGGTTTATGGGACTGTGACAGAGTGGTCATATTCATTCAGTTAATAGATTTATTTTTTTTTTTTTGCTGCACCCTTACT